AAGCTTTAGGTAATTTAGCCTGTTTAAAAGAAATAGAGGATCCTTTTTTATCTCTTTGTGTGTCTAACACACCATTCCAGTCTCCCATTAATATAACAGATCTGTAATCCAACAAAGTTAATTTTTGATGTAACAGTCTGTAAAATTGTTCCTGTTGTTGATTTGGTGCATACAGTCCCACTATAAGTACTTTTTTACCATACAAGCCCACTTCAATCAAAACGTATCTCCCTTGAGGATCGGATTCTACCAAACAGGCTGATAGGTTTTGCTTATCATAAATAACTACTCCCCCTTTTTTCCCAGGAGCAGAAGATACAAAATGAGATCCCAGACGAGCATTAACTAAATATTTTTGATCTTTAAATATAATATGTGTTTCCTGCAAGCAAATAATATCATTATTGTGTTGCTTTAAATAATGAAAAATCTTCTTTCTCTTTTGAGGGGAATTAAGGCCATTAGCATTTCATGTCAGGAGCTTTATCATCTCCCTTAACCAGAAGCCTGGAGAAGACTACTTGAAGATCTGCCATTGAAGAATGTGCTGCAGAACTCTTGGGTCTTGCTCCTCCCACAGGGACCGAAGCAACTTCTTGAAGAACTTCTTTAACTTCTTTCTTCTGTTGTTCCTTTTCCTTACGTCTATGTGCTGCGCGAGTCATTCTTTGCTCTTTAATCTCTGCTTGTTGCAGCCACTCCGCCTGTGACTTTCCAATATCCATCAATACTACTTTTTCAGACTGTTGTTCCACCTCTTTACCATCCAAGACTTTCTGCATCATAGGTGGTGGTGAGCCTGCTCCCAGGACCGACTTATAAAACTCCTTTGCTTTAGGAACTGTATTAAGTCTATAACGCATCCCCGCATGGCTCACAACAATACCCATCGGAATCTCCCATCTAAATGGCATCAATCTTTTTTTAAATTCATTAGCTAAGAAAGCAAACTCTTTTCTCCTTCTTAAAATTTTGGATGGGATCTCCTTTAAAATAATAACATCTTGAGCAGCAATCTGAAACCTCTCGTTATAAAAAGCTTGTATAATTTCATTACACAGAGATCTCTTTCCAAAATAAATCACCACATCTCTTGGTAAATTTCTTTGTTTTGCAATCCAGGAGTTAACTCTAAATATCTTTTCAACTTATCTGAGTATTTCCTCTTTCTCTCTATTCAAAATAACAGCAAGGTCATTTACCACAATCTCTCTCAAGCCTTGCTGCATGTCTTCTTTCAGGCCTCTGATTCTTAAAGCATATTCCATCTCTCTATACTGAGACATGACAATGTCATCTTGTGAAATTTCCATCTTTTTTTCCATGCCTTCAAATTTGTCTTCCAGAATATCCACCTTATCTGCCACCTCTTCCACTCTAGAATCCAACTTCTCAACCACAGAAGCAAGTCCTGTTAAAGCCATAACTATATCTTGCCTCAGGATAGTATTATTCTGCTCTAAAAGCTCCTTCATTTCCCCTCTATTTTGAGTATTATTCTGGTCTAAAAGCTCCTTCATTTCCCCTCTGATTTGAGCTACAGCATTTCCCATTATATCTTTCATATCTTGTACTGTTATTGCTGGCAAAGGAGGAGAGGGTGGTGGTGTAGCTTTAGGTTGTTGTGCCAGTAAGATCGCAGGAGAAGAAGCCACCTTAGGTACTGTAGAAGTTGCTTGCCTCTTTGAAGCCGTTTTCAAAAAGAAAAAAATCTTATTTCTTCTTTCCTCCTTCTTTAAAAAAAAATAAAAAATCCCTTAAAAGAGAAAAAAATAACAAAGGAGAGTTTAACAACAACAAAAAAATCTTCCCAAAGCACAAATCCACCTTAAGAAGAAGTTTAAGGAGGAAAAAAAACCATCTAATCCATAACGTTCCGTTTCACTCACTTTTTTTCCAAAAAAAACCCTTTCCAATCACCATTTTACTTTCACTCTCCACGCAAGAAAAAACGAAGAAAAAAGAGAAAAAGAATAGAAATAAAAGTCAATCTTTCAAACTAAAGTCCAGATGAAATCCAATAAAAAAATCCTTTATCCAACTCTGTCCGCTTTTTTAAAAATAACTCACCCGGTCCCTTTAAGCGCGGAGGTGGTAGCGGCGTTTTGCTTTGTTCCCAAAGGAACAAAGACAGCTGGGAGGCGGAGGCAACCTGAACTCCGAGGGAACTCTCTTTCCCCCCCCCCAGGGAAAAATTCCTGGGGGGTTCAAGAGGCTCTACCTCTATTCAGGTGATACTCCCCTCCTCCCCTTCACCCGGGAGGGAGGTTTTGAGCTGCAGAACAGCTGGTGCCTGCTGTGCTCCGCGGTTCTCATGCTTTCCCAGGAGGACGCTACAAAGTAGCCGCCATCACCGACACTAAACCACCGGAAGCCCAAATGCCGGGCTTTTTGAATTACTACTATTTTTTATTTATTTTATTTTATTTATTAAATATTTAAATCTTCTCTAGAAGGTGACTCTTCTTCACAATGATTTTTATTGCTTTGTATGGAAACTGGGGGCCCCTCCAAAAAAATGAACCAAAGCTGGACACAATCCTTCACTTATCTTGCATATTTAAAAGCATAATCTACATTTTGTGATCCAGTCTGGGAAATTGATAAATTAGTAAAATAAAATGGATATTTTATACATTATTCTGCCTGTAATGAGAAACCTGAAGAGCTAAAATTGATGATAATTCTAACTCACATCATTTCCATCGGAAGACCACATACTTTTTGGTTCACCTATCTGTTAAAAGTTTCCTCTAATACTTCCCAACATAACTTTATTAGAATGTAGTCTGTGTTATCTAATCAGAAGAAAGCATTTCTTGACTCTCTTCTTTAAAATCAGGATTTTTTTGCTACCTTTTTAAAATTAATTATTGTTTGCTCCATAACAAAGTAGGTTATTTTAAAATAATTGGATGTATCCATAATGATTTGAGAGCAGTAAGCACTAAAGAGGGCAAATGATGTCTCATAAGGGATTGATCAAGAATTTTATGACCTTGTTTTATTTTTGTTTTATGTTTTGTTTGTGAGTATATATTTTAATAGTGTTTTACTACATTACTTTCTGCATGAAACTAGGAAATCCAAATTCAGTTATGCAGGTTAGGGGTGCTGCATGAATAGCCTTGGTATTATTACCATATAACTTGAGTTCCTGAATCTCCATGCATTACCTTCTAGGGAAGACCTGTCCTATTCAGTTGTGAATCTATCTATTTGGTTTATTGCTGTTAGATAATTAAAACCATAATTATAATTTAATTGCATTGTTGGATATTTTAAAGTATTGCTTGTTATATTACGGTGGATTGATTCATCACCTGATTCAAATATAATATATTGTAAGGATTTCTCTAGAAATAGCAATGTTTAATATTTGACTTAAATATTATAGCTATCTACTTTAGATAAGTCAAACAATAATCTTTGATTTAATTTGCCTCTTGAAAATGTCGTAAGATTAACAAGTGGATTATATTTATTAATTCTACATACATGAGAAAAAAATTCAGCCAAAACTCAAAGATTGCTGAAAGTATCAATGAATGTTTAAAAAAGACATAATGTGCAGCATATCTAAGACTACTCTTGATATTTATTCAAATTAAAAATTGAAAAAATTAAATTTATGGTGTGTATTTAGATTCAACATTGCATATGACAATTCCAAAACAGAATTTGTCTGCATTGTACTGATGAAATTCATTGATTTCTATAATATTCCTCTTAAAAATAGTTTTATGCATTGTTCCATCTATAAAGTGAATGTGTGGGAGCATATCAGCACCTGTTTTTGATTGCCTGACTAATAAAATATGCAATCTAATTACAGCATGTGGATTTGATAACAATTGGAATAATGAAATTGAAAATATAATAATAAATATCTGAAGGACAGTGAAGAAGATACATTGAAACTAGTATACAAGGAAGGGTTACTTAGTATTGGAGAGACAAAACTGGCCTACAGGAAAGAGTAAATGAAGAACAGAAAAGAAAAATGGGAAGACAAAATGTTACATAGTCAGTCTATTAAAAAAAAAAAAAAAGGCAAAGCGGATAATAAAAAGACCTGATAATGGCCAAAGCAGGAAAGGTGAAAAAAGAGACAGAGGGGCTAATCTGACTGCACAAGACCAAACCTTAAAAACAAATGCATGCAGCAACAGAATTAAGAGCAACAGTCTGCAGGTGCCACCTCAACAAAGAAGCTGAATGGCCAGTAGACCACTTGGTTAGCTGCCACAAGATCACATATACTGACTAAGACAACAGCATGACAAAGTAGCAACAATTGGAATGTATTGGAAGATCTGCAAGAAATATCATTTGCCTGTAAGCAAGAATTTTGGATCATAAAATAGAGAAAGTCATAGAAAATGAAGAAGTTAAATTGCTCTTTAGAATTTAAACAGACAGGCATCTGTCACATAATATCCAAGACTTAACAACTTTGATAAGAAAGACAAAAAAATCTGGATAATGGACATGGCAGTGCCTGGAGACAGAAGAATAGAAAAGAAAGAATTGGAAAGCATAAAAAATATAAAGATCTGTCAATAGAATTAGAATAGAAGGACCAGTAGTAAGTACCACTCCTTCAACACTGCTGCAACTTAGAATGGTTGCCAATCAAATGGTCATTAACCGAGGACTACATGTAGTTTTTGCCCATTTGATCCTTCTTTTGTTTGGTCCAAACACTAGTTCATAAAATGTGCTATCTTAGTTTATGAATGACCAATATATGATTTGCAATTCATCCACTGATCACAAGCTTGCCTACAAATGTGTTTCTTCAGTTGGTGAAAATGCCATTAAAAAGCAGTTTAAAGAACTCTGTTTTGAATTAGAACATTTATTACAAGATTTATATTCACCTATAAGGTAATATATAAAGTGGAGCTCCTTCCTTCTCTTAAAAATGTTTATATTCGTGTCTCTTGTGACATAACTTAGCTGAAAAAGATCTAATAGGACTGTTTCTTTTATTTTAGCAACAAGAACAAGACCCCACAAATCTTTACATCTCAAACTTGCCCATTTCCATGGATGAGCAAGAGTTGGAGAATATGCTTAAACCTTTTGGACATGTCATTTCCACCAGAATATTAAGAGATGCAAATGGCATCAGCAGAGGAGTAGGATTTGCCAGGTAAAAGCTGTTTTTTTTATTTGCATGCTAGAATTTATTTCCTTTTCTCTTTAGATTTATTTATTTATGCATGGCAAGGCTATATTTGGTATTGCTTAAAGATCTGGAATCATACAACATGTACAATAATGCAAGCAACTAAAGGAACTTATCTGAATGTATGGGTACATCTTTTCCAGAAAATTGAAAAACCATTGCTTGAGAATAAAGTTTATTTTATTAAGTCAAATAATAGTAAAATAACCGGGAGCAATTAAATATCAATTTCAACATGAAGAGAAATAAATGTCATTCTTTCTGAAAGCCTGTATGTGATTATGCTAGATATTTCTTAATTTAAGATTGAAAAAAGATGGGAAGAGTGAATATAAATTTACTGTAAAATATAATGAATAAATAATTCAATAAAACAGAGAAGTGTCGTACCAATTTTGCCAATTTGAAAGGAGTATTCCAGGATCATCACTGTCAGCCATTCAGTTGTTCCTGACCCTCGGCCTTGCTATGGATCATTATTCTCCATGCCCCTCTGTCTCAAACTGCCTCTCTCTGATTCACCGTGGTCATTCCAGTGTTATCTTTTATAACGTCTGGCCAGCAGGCACTAGGATGGCCCCTTTCGCTTTTCCTGCTGATCACTGATTTTTTTGAATGAGTCGACTCTCATGACATGACCAAAGTACGATAGTCTTTGGCTTCTGGTTAGGCATCACAGCGTAATGGGTGCAGGAAGACGGGGCTCCGTCTTCCACTCTCGATCTGGCCTTGCTGGGGATCCTAAAAAGGGTTGAAAGTTGCCCCGGAGAGGCGACGAAGAAGGAGAGGACCCTTGTTGATTGCAGAGGGGTGGTGACCCCTCTGTTTGATCCAAGGAAGCCCTCCAAACCAGCAGGGGAAAGACTGGCTACAGAAGCTGCTGGCAACTGAAGAAAATAAGCACTGAGCAACTTTTGAGCAATGTGGATGGAACTGGGTGAGATTATATCCTCTCTTTATGATTTTAAGACTTTTTCCTTGAAAAAACCATCCAAAGCAAAGAATCTCCCCAATGAGAGAGGGAAGGGGAATTTCCGCCCCATTACCTCAGGAAAAGAAAAGCAGCAAACTAATTGCTTGAGGGAAAACAAAAAAAATTGCAAGATTAATTTGGAAGCAATACAGATGTATAGCTTTGAAATTTGGGGACTAAAAGTATTTTTGAGACTTTTTTTAGAAAAGAGACTTGAAAAGTTTGTAATATAAGTTTGGATTTAAAAAGCTGGAAGACGGTGTTAATGACATCTAGTGGAGAACTACAGCAGTACAATTTATTATTAAAGGAACTTGGCTTGAAGCCCAGACTCAGATAAGACTTTGGTTGTCCTTGGAAACTTTTACTTTTGAAGAAGACTGCAGCTGGGAAAAGGGGAAAAAAAAACCTCTTGAGCTGCTTCTTTGTTATTCCTGAAAACTTTCATTTTTGCAGACTGCAGCTGGGAAAAGGGAAAAAAAAACTCTTGGACTGCTTATCTGTCTTGGGGACCCTATTGGACTATAAAGACTACATACAAAAACAAAATGAGTGTTCCATACTTAGCCTTAAATGGTAACACTTTAACACTTGCCCCCGAAGCTCCCAGCTAGATATACCAACAAGAAAATGTTAATGAATCTCAGAAATAAATTCTTTCTATGTTAAAATCAATCCAACAGACAATTGTTTTATTTCATGATGACACTAAAAATAACGCAAATGAGATAAAAGAACAATTTTCTAATCTAAACTTACAAATCCAGACTATGACTACAAAGAAGGGACTAGTAACCCAGAAAACAGAAGAAAAAAATTAGAAGAAACAGATCCAAAGATGGAAGACCTAAAGGAAGAAATTAGCAGACATATACAGACAAATGAAAAATTAGAAGATGCAGTGGTAACACCAGAAATGGAAAAGATATCTTACTTGTCAAGATTTCAGAACACATTTGAAGATAAGGAAGAAGAGCTGATCGAATGGATGATAAAGCTATTAGGAGAAATGCTGAATATTGACAAACAAGAAATGAAAAGAAAAACTGAAGGAGAAAGATGGAGACTGTTTAATGAATATAAATGGGTTGAGCATTCTTCCAAAAATACTTCAATCAAATTCTCTTCCTCGTTCCAAACAATATATACAAAAACAGAGGAAGAATTACTTGATGATTCAAATGTACTGACTTAGAAAGTCATTTGGCAAAGGAAGAAAGATAGAGTAAAACTGAAGAAAATAGAGGTTTTGTCCTATTAGATAGGATATTATACTATTAAACAGATGTTTGAATATGGTTAAGAGAATAGATAACTGTTAGAAATAAAAGTATTATAATTAGAAGGATAGGATTTGTAACTAGAATATTATATTTTGTTATGAGATGGGAAATATGAAAATTCTAAAAGGGTTTGAATAAGAGAAGCCTTTGATTATCCAAATATAATTTATTACGAGAAAATTATAAGCAATAGACACACTTTGAACTTTGAACATTGAGGGGAAATCAAAATTTTAAAAAAGCAGGAAATGGATTCTAAGTGCAAATGCAATTGAGATATGTTTTGGCTAGAAAAGATATTATAAACTAACACTATAGATATTATGTACAATATCAGAAAAATGTGGTGAAGGTGTCTGTATTTAATTGTATATGTATTAACAGTAACAAGAATTATATTTGCCCAGTGTAGAAAAATGCATACTACCAGAAGAAGAGAGGATCAAGGAAGCACTGGATGGTGTAGTATTGGAACTAGACTGAGAAAATTAATATGTACCACTGAATTATCAATGAACTCAGACAACACATTGTTATTAAGTACTTATGATTGTAAAATTAGAAAATTAATAAAATAATTAAAATACAAAATATGACAGTCTCTGTTTGGCAATTTTGTCTTGAAGTGATATTTTTGGTGAGGTTCATTCTAAGACTTTGTTTGTTATTTTTGCAGTTCATGGGATAAGTAATAGTCACCTCAAGCGTCCACCCTTCTCCTATCTGCCCTTTTCAGAGTCCAGATTTGCAGCCATAAGTAGCAGTTGGAAAAATTATTGTGTTAACTAATCTGCATTTGGTTGTGAGGTTGATGTCTTTACTCTTCCAGATGTTATTCATACCAGACATTGTAATTCTTCCAAGTGCTATACGCTTTCTGATCTCAGAGCTACAATCATCACTTTGGTCAATTTTTGAGGATTTCCTCCAAATTTCCAGGGTATATAAATTTCCAGGATATAAAAAATTAATTAGGAGGATCACACATATCTGTACCAATCGTGAGAAGAAGTTGCAGCTTTTGTATATTAGTTTCAAGAGCATTTTGTGGGTTAAAACTGTTATATGCTGAAATTTTCAACACATCTTTTAAGTAAATCTTAGTTTGATAGCATTAGATTAGGTAAATTGTAATGAATGAATACATCCAGCTTCTCCTCAATCATTGAATAGTTCTTCCTTCCAAATTTGTTCCATGTGGAAGTCAATTTATTATTCCACACATCCGTTTTAGTTTTCCTTATTGCATTCCTGAAATGTTCCAGAATTTTATGTATTATATATCGTAGAGGAGAAATAATGCCAGATTTTTCAACTTTAGTTTTTGATTCAGGTAAATTTTGATTTAATGTCATGATTTTTGTGACTGTCTTAAGATTCAAGAAGAATTCTGGAAAGAATAAATAAGAATCAGTTGAAAATAAAAAATAAAAAACCCCGTCCGGTTGGACTGACATCCACCATAATGAAATGCTTTGAGAAGCTGATAAAGGACACTATTGTATCTAGCTTCCCGCCAGCATTTGACCCGCTTCAGTTTGCCTACCGACCAAATCGCTCTACGGAGAATGCTATTTCTTCCGTTCTCCATCTGAGCCTGAAACACTTAGAGGAAAGAAATACTCATGTGCGTTTGCTGTTTGTCGACTTCAGTTTGGCGTTTAACACAATCATTCCCCAGCATCTAGTAGACAAACTGGGCCTTTTAGGCTTAAGCACTCCTTTGTGCAACTGGATTCTTGATTTTCTTACCAACAGGCCCCAATATGTGAAAGTTGGAACAAATACCTTTAATACCATTTTCTTGAGCACAGGTTCTCCTCAGGGCTTAAGTCCACTGCTGTTCACCCTGTTGACTCGTGACTATTATGCCAGGTTTGCCACCAACCATATTGTGAAGTTTGCAGATGACACAACAGTAGTGGGCCTTATTCAGGATGACAAGGTGGAAGCTTACCTCAAGGAGGTTGAGGGGTTGGTGAACTGGTGTAAGAAAAACAGCCTAGTTTTAAATACCAGAAAAACCAAAGAGATCATTGTTGATTTCAGAAAAGGCAGGCACAGCCACACTTCTCTGTGCATTAATGATTCACCTGTGGAGATGGTTACCAGCGTCAAATTCCTGGGTGTGCAGCTAACGAGTATGCTGACTTGGTGAAGTGGGCACAGCAGTGCCTGCATTTTCTGTGTCACATGAGAAAATGCATGAGAGCCGAGGTGGCGCAGCAGTTAGAGTGCAGTACTGCAGGCCACTTTAGCTGACTGTGTTCAGCAGGTCAGCGGTTCAAATCTCACCGGCTCAAGGTTGACTCAGCCTTCCATCCTTCCGGGGTAGGTAAAATGAGGACCCAGATTGTTGGGGGCAATGTAAATATATATATATATATATATATATATATATACATTGCTTACTGGTGTACACCGCTTAGAGAGTGCTTGCACTTAAAGCGGTATATAAGTCTCATAAATAAATAAATAAATAAATAAAAGCACATCTTCCTTCCCCTGTCCTGACCACTTTCTACAGGGGGACGATTGAGAGCATCCTGTCATACAGCATCACAGTCTGGTTTGGAAGCATCACTGCTTCAGACAGGAAGGCGGTGTAGAGAGTGGTGAAAATGGCTGAAAAGATCATTGGCAGTTCCCTCCCTCTCATACAGGACATAACACAGAAGCGTTGCTTGAGCAGGGTCTGTAAGATTATC